CACGACACTTAGCTTACAATTTGGATTTGTTAGGAGATTTTATTTAGGGATGACAATGAAATTTGTTCTCAATAAAATAAAATCGGTAAAATAGAGATAGACAAAAAAATAATTATTTGTTAAAATAAACGAGTATAAATGTGGATATAAATACTTTAGTATCCATTCTACTTCATATTTATATTATTATTATTATTATTATTATTATTATTATTATTATTATTATTATTATTATTATTATTATTATTATTATTATTATTATTATTATTATTATTATTATTATTATTCACACATGTTAACCAATTTTAATAACTAAACGACCGTTAAATTTCTATACATTTTAATATAAATATTCATTTATTTTTTAATTCAATAATAATATTTTTAATTTTTTAATATTATTAAAAATTTAAAACAACGTGATAAATTATAATTGATAAATTATTTTTTATTAAAAACGTAAATTAATAAGATATAAATATGAGTACTTATCTATTTATAGGATAGAGAGACGGATACAAACGGAATATCTTGTTATAAATAATAAATGGTTTGTTACAAAAATATTTATTATTAATTTTTTTTTGGATTAAATGCATAATTCTTTAGGTAATATATGCGTTTTGTTTTATTTTCTTTAATTTTTTTAAATGTTTCTAAAATTTTAAATTATTAAATTTTTTGTCTCTTAAGTACAAAAATTATTTTTAAAAAAATGATTTACTCCATGATTTTTATACGCTTAAAAATACATAAAAATTAAAAAAAAATAATTAATAATTTTTTTTAAGGAAATAAAACTAAATTTACCTATTAGAGAAGAAATTATGCATTTAATCCATTTTTCTTAAGTATAAAATTAAAAGTAAAGAAATAGTTGTCGCATATCCCAGTAACTTTTTATCAAATTTGTTTTTAGTAAAATAGTAATCCAGAATACATTTTATATAAGAAAATTCAACTATAATATTTTTTTTTGTGTAGTTATTTTATACCTTAGCATAGAGTTGTAGGGAGAACATATCAAACAAATTATATTTTATAATAAGTTTAATCATGTAATTTTCATTAGGAGTGAATATATGTATATAGACAGGGGACTCAAGCCCCATAAAAGATTTTTATTTTTATTTTAAAATGTAGTATATTTTTAATTTTCTCCTCATAATTAAAAAGAAGTGTTGCCTATATGATTTAGCTTATTAAAAAATAAATGTAAAAAGTTATGCAAAAATTTTAGTTAATTAATTAGTACCAACTTTATTTATTTATAATTTTATTTTTATCATTTTTTTAACTTTAAGCATAATATCATATTTAAAATAAGATAAAAACCGCCCTATATATTATAGACTATCTTAAAAGATTTTGTTTATAAAGTTGTGAATTTTATAAAATTTGAAATAGTATTTATGTGAATATATTTATTTATTTTTTTGAGAAAATAGATAAATAAATAAATAATAGATAATATATTTATTTATTTATTTATTTTTACACTATCAATTATCATAACTATGAATCCTATCGAATCATAGTTAATGTATATTTTTTAAATTACTTATATAATTTGACATTTTAAAATATTTTGATTAAATATTTATGTAATATTTCTTTATACTCTGTGCACTACTATTAAACTATTTTTTTTCTTCACTAAATTTTTTTGACCCGGCACTGTTTATATTATAAAATTAATAACACTAATAATTTTATACATGTTTTTGGAACATTCAAATACTATTTATTAAGTTATATTACGTAATTATTGTGAGAAAATAGATACAACGGTAACTTCATATAAAAGTTGCTCCAAGTTATATGAACATATCCAAATGTATAAAAAAAATTCACACTAAATACATTCAATATAGAAACCGAACATGTTGGTAGTTAATTAATTCGAATATCGTGTGACACTCATGTTTAGAGAATGATAGAATTTGTTGGATTATACTTTTTAAAGTTGTACTTTTTTACCCATAAGTTATACTTTTAAAGTTGTACTTTTTTATCCATAAGTTAGACATCAAATTTAGATATCAAGTTGAATGGTTCAAAATAAAGAAAAGAAAAAAAATTAAATTCTCAAAAGTAAAGTTCATGCAAATTAAATTAAAGTTCATGCAACGACCGCAAGAATGTTGCTCAATCCTAGAGGAAAGAAGAGATGGATCCAAAATCAATTTCAATAGATTTAGTGAGTTTTGCTATGAAATCAACATTTTGATTTCCTTCACAAGAGTGTGGATAATTATATACATGTTATTTTCACTTAACATATTTTTAATATTTTGTACGACATGCTTATCATACTTATTTAAGGATATTGTTCAGAACTAGTCAAAGATCCAAATGACTAGGGTCTAATTCATTTTAAATTTACTCTATTCGATTTAAAATATAAAACAGTTCATATGCGAAGAGTAAGATACACAATCTCTTATTTCCAATTTCATTATATTCATATTGAATATTAAACTTGATTCTTTCAACAATTATCTAACTCTCTTCATTTTTGGTTCCTTCATGAAGCTAGATCATTGGTTTCTATTTTTAAAAACGGAAGAATGCCACAATATGTGAGAATCGACTTTCGATTCCTACTTTTCCAAGATCAACAGTTATCTAACTCTCTTCATTTTTGGTTTCTTCACGGAGCTAGATCATTGATTTCTAGTTCCAAAATGGAACAATGGCATGATATGTGGGAATCGACTTTCGATTCTTACGATTTTCATGAGGTTCACAATTCACTTCACAATATCAAAGGAGCATAGAAACACAAGATCTAGATTCTTGCAGTTCAGATCCAAACCTCTGATTCTCTATTTTGGTAACTTCCTTAGATTACCAAATCATGAGTGAATCAGCTTCTAGTATTCGCGCCTTCGACGAACTTGCAACCACTTTTCAGTTTCATCCTCCATAACTTCTTCAGATCCTAGGATCAAGGAAGGCTCAAAAGCGAAAACAAAGATCTGTAGTGGTTGGTTCGATCCATCACTGACCCCACTTCAACCCCTCGAAATCCAAACATTCACTTTTCTTGAGAACGCCATAAAAAGCAATGGAAAGGATTTTAGATCCAGATCTAGGTTTACGATGGGGTCTGAAGGCGATTCTAATGAAGGTCAGATCGAAAATTCACTATCGTCTCCCAACCTAATGCATTCCTCGTATTTTACTCATGATGAGGCTCTTATCGAGGATACATCTTCGAGATACCTCAAGTTCATAGTTAATCGCACTTTGATACCACAAATTCATAGTTAACGCCAGGCGCCAATCCAGTTCTGGGGTGCATCAAGGGAGACCGTTAACACTTGAGAATCATTTCAATAAGAAGCAGCAGGTCAGATGTACGACAAGAAGCCCTAAATCTACTTGAGATAGACATCCATCCCATAATAGGAAGGAAGTTGGGGAATCGAATCCCCGAAGATCGAAAAGTGCCTCGCTGAAGCATTGGACAAAGCAATTTCTGGAGGAACCGACCAATCAACTACGTACTGGCACAAATACCAAGGAGAAGCACATCAGACACAGTCCAAACAAATGAGACCCTTCGAAGTGTGAAATACATTTACCTAAGAACCCCCGCAAAAAGACAATGGTCGAAGACTGCGGACCCTGTTCAACCACTCCGAGGTCACCAGTAAAGGTTATCTACCCTGATTGATTATTTATTTATTTGTAACAAATTAAATTTATTAACACACACACACATACACACACACACACACACACACACACACACATATATATATATATATATATATATATATATATATATATATATATATATATATATATATATATATATATATATATATATATATATATATATATATATATATATATATATATATATATATATATATATATATATATATATATATATATATATATATATATATATATGTGTGTGTGTGTGTTATGTGCTTCTTTGTCTCTTTCAGCTAGAATGTCCAGAATAGGAGAACAAAGATGAAATGAGGGAATATGTTACCAATACAGACACAACACTAATGTAATTCTAATACGTCTTAAGCATATTTCGATCTTATTGCATATATGATACAAACTAACGCATCTATGCGATTCTGATATGAATTAAAATGCATTGTCTGCATGAATGTGTTTCCAATATAGACTTAACACATTTATGTGATTCATATATGGATTAAAGTGCATCCCATGCCCTATTGATATCTGATACAGACTTAACACACTTCTACGATTCTGATACAGCTCAAATACACACCTTACTTCTGAGGCTTATTGAACGCACTTTTGTGAAACTGGTGCACCTCTCTCAGATCTAGTCAATCCAGGGTCGTAGGTGGTGGAGCCTAGAGACTTACACCTCGATCTGAGCCAAGCCTCAGGGGCAGGGACATGAATCCTACCCTTGGTCAGGTAACAATCCTTTGCAAGGCGGAGCACTATATAAAATACATCCATATGATGTCGACCTCGTCAATCCTAAGCATACCCCGAAATATGCAAATAAATAACCGAATGAGATATATAGATAAATACCATACTACGAAAAATGATAAAAATAGAAAGAAAACATGGTAACCCATAAGGGTAGCTGTCATCATTCAATGCACCAAGTTGCAAAAAAGAAAGAAAATTCCATAGGCATTTTCGCCATATTTTTACATGCAAAGGCGATGTTTCTTTCATAAATCAAAGCAGTAAAGGCTATCGCACCCAAAAAAAAATATCCCACTGTTGCCTATGAACAACAATGGTCTGACGTAAATTGTAAAGTAAATAAATACTTCACGGGGTAAAAGAGAAAGCCCCATAGTTACAACAATTCATAAACAATGATAATGATAAAGCACGGGCTAATACAAAGCTTCAAATCTAATAGTACTTGAAGAATCAAGGTAAAATATTCAATTGAATATATAACATTATTACATCCAAGGCATAAAATCATGGGAAATGTTATAGGAATTAAATAATACAAAGTAAAAAGAAAATCAAGATGGAGCATCTGGAGTCGAGGCACTGAAACCACCTCCTTGGGTCACCCTAGAAGCAGCCTTAATCAAATTCAACACCTCAATAGAAATTATAGCATACAGGGAGAATTTCCTTGCCTGCTCCACCACTTGCCCATGCACTCCAAGCACATCCTACATAGTCTACAGAAGAGCATTATGGAGTGCCAGCCATAGACCGGCCACCTCATCCTGAAGAGATTTCAAGGCCTCTACATATTTTTGATGCTCTTCCACCTGGAGATCCTTTTCATCAGCAGAATCAAAAGCAACTTTCTACTGCTTCTCAGCTTCTTGAAGAGAAACCTCTAGTTTTATGACTCAAGCCATCATGAAAAAAAGGGAGCCATGTATTTCCATTACCTCATGAAAAGAGTTAACAACTTAAACTTTCTTCTGTAACATAACGAGTTCCTTCTGAAGATTAGTGCACTTTAGCTCCATAGCTTCAATATTCCTTTCCAAGTATCGACATACTTGAAAGTAATAGTCAGGGCCAAAAAATCACCCCGTCCAGCATAGACAAGAGAAAAGATAGAAGCATCTTTGAATATGTTGTGAGCAAGTTCAACGACCATTTCCATCTTATCCCCCTCGGGGATATTCTCGATGAAGGATAAATTCAACGTCAAAGCAATAGTAGGGGCCTTCTAAGGAGTGCGTGAAAGTCGCGAAGAGAATATATATGAGATATTTATGAAGAGAGTTACCTCCCCAAAAGAATCGTCCTCAAGGACCCAAGTTCATTTTAGAGAACACTCAGTCCGAGGATATTATTGTTCCTCATCCCAATCTATCTTGGTTGAGATCAGAGACGAGGTTGGTTCCTCCACCGTTAAAACAACTACAACATCCACAAGCTCATCCACCTTGAGCACATGAGCGGAAGCTTCTAAGATTTGGGTAGGAAAAGAGAACAAAGCAGGATTAGTGGCTACTATAGAATTGGGGGCAGAAGAAGAAACCCTCTATTCACTACAACCTGAATAACTTCACCATATACAAGGTTGTAGAACATGTTCATCTTGCTTATCTTATCCATGTTATATGTAAAATGAAATCATGCATGTTAAAAAGCATGAAGACTTCACTCCCACCAAAGATATTTCTCCCCTTCTCAAGATTAATTGCACCCATGATAGCTAAAGTATTAATTCGCCTTTTCCTCACATCAGTAGAAGGCACCTCACCAGAGCCAAATCTGCCCTCATATCCAAGATCTTGAAACCAAGATTTCATTTCCTCCTTCATTGTTACCTTTTCCGAGAAACATAACCTGACTGGATACAATAGGAGAAAGCAATTCAGTTAAAATGGATCCTGGACATATATTTCGGATACGAAAATTGGAAGAAGCGAGGAGATTCAGCAGGCAGATAGCATAAAACAGAAAGAGCCTTGAGGGTAAGGGGCTTCTGATCAGTGCATTTTCATGCATATTCTTTCACCATTATGTCACGACAATTCTAGAGTGTCTTTTTTTATTTCTATTATTTTGGTGTGTTTCCTAGACTTAGTTTATTTTTACCTTTATTTTAATTTCGTATTTTATTATTAGCTGAAATAGTTATTTGATACCTTCTCGTTGTACAGGTCATAACTTGGGCTACGGGATGTCGTTTGACACTTTCTAATATACGTTGGAAAGTTGATAGGATAAATGTAGCGGTAGAAATGTTAAGACTAAGCCATTGGATTGACTTAACTCGCACATTTCAAATAAAAATCGCCGCCGCGCTTTATTGTTTCCAAAGGAATGAGAAAAGAGTGAATAACCCAAAAAGAGGGGAAGAGAATCTAAGTTAGAGGGTTGGCTATGCAAAGGGAAGGTATTAACACCTTAAACATCTATGGTACTCTGCAGGAACCTCTTTGAAAATCTGTGTATTTTTGGCTATAAACATTATATAAAAATAGATTATGGGGATGAGAAAAGAAGTATTTTTTTACATATTTTTCACCCGCTGCGGTTGCGAACCTTTAGTGCCTATGTACCACCTTCCGTGAAATAGGGGATCAGGATACTCGTAGTTCACCTTTAAAATTTTTAAAACACATGGTGTGTTGGTTAATTTTAAGAAATAGGACATCATCATCTTATCCGAGTGGAAAAAATACTTACTACCCACAATCATAAGAAAGGAGAATTTGCATCATCTCAAAGTGTAGGATATAGCTTGGATTTTAAAATCAACAAATCCTCGCTCAACACCCAAGTTGAAAATACTTCACTTCACTACATATCTTAGAAGTATAGTAGTTTGTATCACTACAAGGATTGACAAGAGTCTAATCTTTTGAGAAAATTTTGAAATAAAAAGCCAAAGTCAATAAATGATTTGAATGAGATTGACTGACTTTTAGTCTTCTCACAAAAATTTCAAAGTATGATTAAGTTGTTTAAAGCTTGATTAAGAAATACATGGACCTAAGTCCAAGTTTATTACGAAAGTGGTTCAAGTTTAAAAACAAGAATAGTTTTCAAAAGGAGGGAGAAGATTTTTGAAATTAAAGAAAGATGGGAGGAGATGAAGGGACTATCCTAAATCATAAGGTAAAATCTAGGGAAAAGAACCGTCTAACCAACAAGAAGCCAACACTTAACATAATGAGTCAATGTAGAATTCTCATCCTTTTGATTTGAAACCAACAAGCAAGGATAATGAAATCTCTTAAGAAAACCAAGCTTCAAAGGCATTAAGTCTTCACAAAAATTGGGCAGAGTAACGACTGCATACAGATGAATTCCCAATCACAGACAAAGCATATAATCAGAATAACCCGCACACAAATAAAACAAACAACCCAATGTATTGAGGTAAACCCCAAGAACTCTAGACAAAATTGCAATAGAAATCACAAGGTCTCTAATCCAAAGTCCAAGAAGTCTATAACTCCAAAATGCCAAGGATAGTAACCAAATAGTTCAAGTAACATTAAAGTTTCTTATGGTTCAAGTTGATTATTTGGTATCTTCAAAAAGAAATGAAAAGCTCAAGTTAGCAAAAATAAAAATAACATAAAGATAAATTCTCGAATGAGCAAAGATGAAAGTAGCATGAAATGAAAATGCTAAAACAAATGTGCTCAAAATAAAAATCATAAAGTAAAAGCATTAAATAAAGTCAATTGTTATGAATTAGAGGTTAGTTGCATGTCCATCTTGAAACTTGAATTTGAAAACTCATTAGAAGAATGATAAAATCAAAGTCTCTCAACAACAAGTTTCATTTGCTTTTTTTCAAGTATATCATTCATTTCAAAATCTCAAGGCAACAATAAATGATCAACGGTGTTTAAATGATTTACTTAGTTCCAAAATTTATGAAGATTCATTAGAGGATTGATAAGACCAAAGCCTCCTAAAAATGGATCTCAAGGTTATTGGATCAAAGGTTTCAAATTAAACATGCTTGAGCTTGCAAACATAGGTTTTTGCCACGAATGATCATTTCTCGAATCGAGACAAAATTTAGGGCTATGTTAAGCAATCGTAAGTGGACTTATATAGAAGTCTCACCTATTTTAAGGCAGGTCAATAGCAATCTATGTACCATATGTTTATAGAGATGATATATAAATCATCCTCTAATAACATATAATACAAGTAAGAAAGGGATAAGATGAAGAGGGAGGGAAATATTTGAATTAAAGATTTTAATCAAACTATCATTAAAATCATTCATCCATTTTGGTGGAGTTAAACTTAACACCTAAGATCCAATGATGTTAATGAAGTTCATGATCAAAAATCACATGGCCAGAATATATTCAAAAAAATAATTTGTAATTAATAAACCAAAATAAAAAATAAAATGATTTTTAAACTGTTTTTAAAATGAAAATAAAAGGTAAAATAGCAAACTGTGTTCAAAGTATCAATGGAAAATTAAAAGAGACCATAGAGAAATCAGAAGTGATCTCAAATATTAAAAAAAATCATAATTTTTTAAAACAGAAAAGTATTTTTTAACTAATTAAAAATCACTCAAATAAGTGAAAAAACATCAAAATAGTAAAAATCAAAATAAAATTCTAGAAAAATTTCAGAAATAAAGAAAATGATCTTGATGAAAATTTTTTAGAATTTTAAAACGCCAAGAAGTATTTTTAAAACAATTAAAATAAGGCAAACAATACAAAAAGTTAGGAAAAATATTAAAAATTAAAATAAAAATATGAAAAAATATTCACAAAGTCAGAAATAATTCAAAGTATTTTTAAGAATTTTTTTTCCAGATTTTTTGAGTCAGAAATGAACTTTTTATGAATTTTTGAAGTTTAAATCAATTAAAATTAAAAATCAGAAAATAAAAATAAACCAAAAAGATATGGACCATTGGATCAATGTCAAAATGCGTTAGTAATCAAATCCAAGGGATCTGGCGCACTGTGCATATCATGGTCATTAGTGAATAAACCACTAGATCAACTATTTAAAACATATTTAAAAACTACGTGGTAAATTCTCATTAGTTGAAGACGCCGGCGTGGTCGTCTTCAACCTCCAGTCAACCTCAAAACTAGGTTCCTCAAACTGTAAAATTAGAGGCTCAGACTAATGTCATTCTCTTTGACTCATCAAGACAAAGAAAATTGTACCCTCGCAAAAAATTTATATAAGCTGTAGCTCAGTGAATTTAAAGAAAACCAGAAGAAAAAAGTAAAATGGGGATTTGAAAATTCATGATCAAAACTCAATTCCAGTTGAAAACAAATGTTGCGACTAGTATCAGAATGATGAGAGCATCATTGTGGTAACAAATTTTGAGAGAATTGATGAAGGAATCTACCTATTGAAGTTCAAATTCAAAGCTCTAAAACTTGACTTGGCTAGCATGATTTAGGATACTTTAGGGCTTGTTTATTCTTCTGTTAGTTTCAGTGAAGTTCAAGGATGACGAATTAACAAAGAAAATGGATTGAGGAAGGCTGTAAAACCAAATTTAAAGTTGCAAAAATATGGGTTAAGGAAAGAGTTGGGCAGGGTGATTCTGGATGTCTAAGCTTGAGAAAATGAATGAGATGTAACCCTTTATTTATAGGAAAGCAAATGAGATTCTCAAGCGTGTGGAATGATGAAGTTTGGAGGGAAATCATGTGAAGTTGCAAGCATGAAAAGCATGACTTCTATTTTGCTTAAAACTCAACCAAAACTTGTGTTTCAAGGTGCTAATAACTTTTGGAAGATTGTTAAACATGATTAGAAGTAAAAACACACAGAAATTTAGTGATTAGAAGCTGAATTATGGATTTCAAATTCTGACTTTGGAGAAAACTTCAGTTTCAAGGTAACAGCTTTGAATCAATGGTGTTCATAGCTCAAGGGGTCTTAGGGAATGATTCTTAAAGCATTTGAAATATAAGGTTACAACCTTTTCAATGTGCAAATAATGGAATCAAATGGATGCTTAAGCTAAAAGTTATGATGGGTCAAAGTTGAGAAAAAGATGCTGACTTTTTGTACTTAGAAAAATTCTAAATTTTTCTTCAAAAATGACCTATAATGTTTTGAATCCATACAAGACTTTCCTCAAAAATTGAGCTTTGATCAATGATACTAGCTTGAATTAGACTTCCCAAAGAGAATTTTGAAACTTGAATCACTCAAAAATACCAAGTATTGAAAAAGTTATGGCCTTGTGAAGTTGGTGAAAATTCATGAGATGACCTATAATCTTTTGCATTCTTAGGTCATCTTACATCCATTTTCAAGATTTGCACATAAAAGAAGAGTTAAATTTCACATACTTAAGATCGTTGTGGAAAAATAATAGGGTCAAGGAGATAAAAATTGACCAAGTTATGATCTTTTGAAGTCACGTAAGGGAATTTGATGGCATATCTAGAGGACTTGTAATCTTTCTTTATCATTAGGCATCTTTCACATAAAATATTCTTGAAACTTTTAAAGTTATTAGTTGATAACAATTTAAAGAGGAGCATGTCTTTGGAATTACTAAAAAATCTCAAAATATGGACAAGGTATAGCCCTTAGAAATTCAAAACCCTAGCTCCTAGAGCATCAAAATGCCTTGGGAAACCTATTAAGCTTTGATAGAGTTTCTTGAACAAATAATTTTGTCATGTGAGTAGAAGTTGTTGGGGATGATAATAAGAATCCATAGAAAAAAAAACACCTCCAAATATTGAGAATTGAGAGAGTTATGCACTTGTGATCAATAAATCAAGAACTTGTCCAATTAGATCAAACTTCTTCAATCAACTCTTGTATATTTTGATTTTCTTTG